CCTACCTACCTACCTACCTACCTACCTACCTACCTACCTACCTACCTACCTACCTACCTACCTACCTACCTACCTACCCCGCACCCACCCACCTGCCTACCTTCTTATCTACCGACCTACATACCTACCTTCCTACACGTGTACTTTTCTAATAAACATTTCTATAAATTTCAGAACTTACCACACAATTGATTGGTTTATTTTTTTAGTTCGTCCCGATCCCCCATCCAATCTTGAAGTCGTCGAAACACGACCTTGGGAGGTCCTCCTGAGATGGACCCAAGGATTTTCTGGTCGAGCGCCAATCACGATGTACAAAATCGAATACAACAACGATTCCTTTTACGAACCTATAACAGCCAAGTGGAATACAGGACTCACCGTCCAGGACGCCCATAAAGTCTATCAGCTTTTTCCTCTTGTGGTTCCACATCTAAGACCTCATACGGAGTACCGCTTTCGAGTGATTGCCGTAAATAGAGTTGGCCCTAGTCCTCCAAGTAATGTCTCGCAGAGTGTGACAACACTTGAAGCCGGTAGGTTTTACGTGATATACTCGTATACAATAGACCTCTAACTACGAACCATTAACTCCCATTATAAAGCTGTCGTCATGATATACTCGTATGCAATAGTCCTCTATCTACCATTTATTCCCATTATAAAGCTGTCGTTATGCCAGGGTAAACTCATCCTCTGCAATGAACTACTAATAATTATGATTACGAAATCCTAGATCTACTACTGATATTTTTATCTTAAACTGTCACTTAATTTAGAATTACTTAAGATATAATTAATGAATAGATCGGACTACTTGCCATACTCTTAGCCTTTAAATTAGCTACTATCATCTAAGTATAATTGGTAAATCTTCACTCGATTTTTTCTTTTAGAGTTTATCACTATTCGTATTTTGTTGTTGTTATTATAATTTAATTTTTTGTTAGGGTGCACTTAATCTGGAGCCAAGCTCTGTTGTGCTTACCCCTTCCATGATAGCTTAGGAACTTAGATAATTGTTATGGATAAAGTTAAGTAAATAAAAAAAATTATCCATATTATTAACCTTTTCTTTTCATAATATTCGCAGCACCATCTTTGCCTCCGAGTGAGTTGATGGTTCATCAACGTGACCGTACAGATGAATTAGAGATAAGTTGGAAGGTGAGTAGATTGAGGAAAACAACGTACGTTGAAAAGACCCTATGTTATTGAAGAGTAAGAGAGCTGTTAAACTAAAAGTTCTATAAATGAATATCGAAAAAAATATTGATGAGATTGTGGTCGACAGTTCGAAATCTTATTAAACATATGAAACGTATGAAACAGATCCCACCAAGAGTTTCCTGGAACAGTGCATTCATTGGCTATATCATCACTTTCGAGCCATCAAGTTCATCACAACACATCCTAAAGATTCAGGTCCCTAATTCGCACTCGACTAGATACATCGTAGGAGGTCTACTGAGATACACTAGGTACAAGATCTCAATCATGTCGTATAACCTCAATGGTAAAGGCACAAGTAATAAAACTACTGATATATTTTATACAACAGCTGAAGGAGGTGAGTAGTAATTATAAATGTTCAATTATTTTGTCACAGGACTTTGGCAAATATATAAGTGTTTAGCTAAACGTTGAAATGCTATAAAACGATGGAAAGGGATTAACCAACTCTTGATGCGAGTCTGGTAGTAAGTTGTACTGAACCAGTCGTCATGCCCGATTTCTTAGAAATTTGCCTTCTTCCTCGCACCCTCGCTCCATCCCATCACCGGCCATCATCCTTACCACCTTTACCGCCACAAATCTGAATTGCAGCTCAAACTGCTGAGGTCGATTGCGAAGTTTAGAAGCTAAACCCAGCGCGATATTTTGCATATAGCAAATACCTTTTATTATCTAAATGCAGATTCATCATCATCCGTTTTCCTAGCGCCATAAGTCCCATAAGGCCTTAATGCAGATTACTTTTCTTAAATTTGTCTGCTATTAGAATTTGTGCCCTTCATGATCAGTATTTAGTGAGACGCTTAGCTGTACACGCACGTGATATTTGATCTGTTATAAACTAATGTCACAATGATTGATATCTCTTGAATAATCCAGCTCCAACAGTATCCCCGTCAAATGTACGAACCAAAGTTATTACCTCAACGGAGATTGAAGTGAGTTGGGGACCAGTACCTGAAGTTGGACGAAATGGAAAGATTCTTGGTTACCAGGTATGAGTCTCTTTTCTGACAGGTATTTTGGACAACGTCTTTCTTATTTTTAAAACTTTCTATAGATCTAACTAAAATTCTCTTTACCTAAAGATTTTCTACAGAGTGGCAGATAAAACTATCGAGAAAATCACTGAAATCAAAAGCTCCGAAACTTACTCCATCAAGATCTCAGGCCTGGAAAGCTTTGTTGTGTACGAGTTTGAAATACTTGCATACACACGGTATGGGCCTGGGCCTAGAAGCAGAGTCGTGAGAGCAAAGACCCTGGAGTCTAGTAAGTGTTTCACGCCTGTGTAGTCCATGCCATGTAGTCCATGTGGTCCTTTCCAGCTGATCTAAATAGAGACGTAGAAATGACACCACTGCAACCTAAAGTGTCATGAAACCTGCGAAAATTGACCAGCGAAAAATCTTCCCCGCCATTACAATAAAAATATAAAACTCATTAATCGTGTCACTGTTATCAAACACTTATTAACGTTTTTCTTTTTTCCATATGATTTGGTGACCTGGAAATCTACAATTTTTAAAGGAAAAGTTACACCTTAGTCTTGTAAATTTTCTCTATTGTGATTTTGTGTGGCTAACTTTTTTCTGAGACCAGCTGGTTGAGGATTCGATAAAACTGATGACCATGATAATCTTTGATATTATTGCGATACGCTTTTAAAACTTTACAAAACTGGTGTTAAAATGCAACAAGTGTATGACTTTAAGCTTGCTATATTTTAGTATAATATTAATGCTGTTACATTACTTTTATTTTAAAAGTACGTTTTTGTCTATAAAACTTGACTTTCCAATATATTTCTTTGTGTCATAGGTAGTTCATTTACAGGCTAAAATTATATCGACTTTCTTTCGTTTTAGCACCCGATCCACCTGCCCGAGTCCGCTTTCCTGAGGTCAACAGAAATTGGCTAAAGATAGCCTGGGACCCCCCGGTTTATCCCCATGGTAACATTACCGGGTATCGGGTTGCATACCGACGTAACGACAGTTCGAGTTCATATGAACGTGAAGATTCCAATGTGGCACCATCGAGGCGGTTACTCCTGTACACTGTGTTGACACCGGAAACATTTTATCGATTCTTCGTTTGGGCCAAAACCACAAAAGGATGGGGACCTGCGTCACAAGAAGTTGTCTATACGACTGACAAAAGAGGTATGTCCAATAATCTGAAATAAACAGATGTTCTTACCTTTAAAGTTCAATGACTCTTTATCAAAACGTCAATTCGTTGAACTCAGGCTAAAAGTTAATATGTACCTCTAGTGCGTGTCCTATACGATGAAAGAGCAACTTGTATGGCTGTAAAAAAAGGTGCAATATTGATTTGACATGCCTCGACCGAGACGTTGCTTTGTCAGATTCAGAGGGGAAAATATACAATTGACTACTTCGACAATACAGCGGCCATCTTGGATCGCATGGTGTTATGGCAGCTGAAAATTATTTATTAATTTATTATTTTTTCCCCTGGCACCCCATAATGCCCTGCGATCCAAGATGGCCGCCGTGTCGTCGAGTCGTATCGTCGTAGTCTATTATTTCTGGACAAAAGATGTTTTCCATATTTCCATYTTATTACAATAGCAATTTTTAATTGAACGGCAATATGCCATCGTATAAAATGGGTGTCACTGAAACGTTGGATATTGAGTATCTTTTATTTATTTTTTTCTTCTTATTCTTCTAATAGTTGCTCCAGACACTCCATTCATATTTCCAATTCCTACCGAGTGTATTTTTGAGCGTGCAATCACCATCGAATGGCGAATCAACGAGCATCCCAAGAATCCTTACAGGCATTTCACGCTTCAGTTTGAAGCAAACAGTGGGGGCTGGTTGTTCTACTCCGCCGATCTGGACGCCAAGCTAAGAAAACTTAAAGTAGAAGGTTTGTTGCCAGGGACGCGTTACAGGTTCCGTATCAAGGCAACCAATGATGTGGCAGACAGTGAGTATAGCTCACCATCAGAAGAAGTTACAACGAACCCAACAGGTGAAAGAAAACAACAGTGATGAAAATAGCGAGAGTGATATAATTTAGAATTATTTATATAGGTAGACACGGATTCGTGAGCGGATAAATAGGCATACGTTGTGTCAGTATTGCTCTGGATTGAAAAAAAGAACCCTTTACAGTAGCTAGTTGCACAGAACAGGAATAAAACAGTAAAAATTAGGATTGGTACAAAATAGGCATTTATGATGTACTTGTTGAAGGCTAAGGAAAGGCTTAGTACCCTTAATGCAGCCTTGCATTTTAAGACCCTGGAAGCAATGGCGCTGATAGACTGCAGGCCTTTTTGACATGTCTTCCTCATTTTTGTGTGCTTATTTGCTTATTATTAACAGCTCCAACGGGTGCTCCACGAGACGTCCGAATCAAAGCAGTCTCTTCAAATTCTCTCCTCGTTGAATGGGCGGTAAGGATTCAAAGCGATTCAGTTGCTTTTTTACATTTGCATGAACCCATTAAATTTAGTCCGTTAATGCTGAATATTCATTGTTATAGGCTCCTATCCCAGAAGAACTGGGCGGTACACTCCAGGGCTTTACACTCAAATACAAAGAGGACGGTTCACTGTCCTTCTTAACAGTATCAAAACTTGCAGCCGATGTACGCAAGTACACCATTACTGGCCTGAAAGTCTTCACTACATATTACATTGTTATATCTGCTGTCAATCAAAAAGGAACTGGAGTATTTACACCCGAACTACCTGGAACTACAGGAGAATTAGGTAAGAAACGAAAAACGGGGTATAGAACAGATGCGAGTTACGTCATTGCCGCCATCTAGGTTGATAATAACAAAGCATTCCTCATTAGCTTCTTTTGTTAGATCAACCAATATGGCGACTGTTTCATTGTTGTTCATACCTCAAGGGATTTTGAGTCACATGGTTGCACACACTCTTTTACCATACCTTATGTTATCAATTTACCTGGATAAAAGAAACACRGACACAAGACTTATCGTAACATGCACATGCTGTATACGCCCATAGCACAATATCCTGACTTTTTCAGAATATTAATTAGTAAAAATAACACAAACCTTCTTTTTTAGCACCAACTAAAGGACCATCTGAGGTTAGCCATGGCACTGTTACGAAGACTTCGATTCATATTAAATGGAAAGCTCCTCCAATGTCAACAATGAATGGTTACCTACAAGGATACAAGGTAAGAAATATGTCGGTCCATAATTTACAACCTCACCCCTGCCTCTCACTTTAATTTCCCGGGTTCTTATGGCTCTGATTCTCATTATGGGAATTCAGTAAATGGGAAAAGTCCCCTTCGCACTTCCCTGCGCCATCTTGAAAGGTAACCATGTCTGTGCATCAAAGCGAGGAAGTTCGGTGACTGCTTGCAATGATAGAGACCTTTTTTAACACCTTGGACAATTACTCACGTGTCTCTATCATTGCAAGGTCACCACAGTTCTCGCTTCGACGCACAGGCACGGTTACTTTTCAAGATGGCGCATGGAAGTGTAAAGTGGACAATTGAGTAAGTTTGTTCTCATCCTTGGTTTTCAACGAGGTCTTAGATACACTGCACTATATACGTCTAGCCAACTCTATCTGTGGATTTGTAACTCCTAACACTAATTGAGTTCTTTAGTTGTCGTGACAGAAATGAAACCCTTACCTTGGACTTCACCATTGTTTTATCCAAATTCCAGGTATACTATGAGGGCCGTACTCCTAGCCGGCGCCGCCGCCGTTCGATTGATAGCTGTCAATCAAACAATTTGCCAAAATACAAAGACGTAGATCATGATAAGACTGAAACTACTATTACCAATCTGCGGAAGTTTGTAGCATATTCTATATGGGTACGAGCATACAACTCTAAGGGTGAAAGCCCAAAAAGTGAAGTGACTATTGCGACAACTCTTCCTGATGGTAAGCTTAGAACCGTCCTTGTTTTACAAGGTAGCTCTTAATAGCCAGTGGCTAATAAGTCTGTGGTCCTCGTTCCATGACTGAATGGGAATGTAGATGTTGATTTTTGTGGAGGGGGGAAAACCGAAGAAAAATCTTCGAAGCACAGAAGAGAACCAATCAGAAATTCTACTCTCATCAAACGCCGAGTCCGGGAATCGAACCCGGGTCGCAATGGTGAGAGGGGAGCACTCTCCTTGCTAAGCCACCCGTAGTTCTCTTAGTTTTTTTAATACCTTCAGAATAGGCTCGTTGTATCTTATTCTAGCCTGTGAGTAGTGGTCGTCTTAGATTTAAGAGTTGCAAGCAATGTTTTTATAAAAATGATCGATAGCGATTGGTTGTCAGTTTCGTAAAAATGAAAATGGGATGGGGAATCAGTAGAATGCAAGGTAGTCAGAGTGCGCTGTCTACGTCCTATCGAAACCATTCACTGGCTGCACTCAGACCAATTATCGTTGCTAATGTGGTGCTTCTTTCATTAGTCCCTGGACCAATAACTGGCTTTGAACCGGATGCTGTCTACAACAGCAGAGTAGATCTATCCTGGCACGATCCCTGTGAGCCAAACGGTCGAATAATCTCATTCGAAATAACTTACTTCACAAGCTCGGCTAAATCGGACACGTCAACCATAAAACTGAGCTCTGAAAAGAGGTCCTATACTATTACGGGTCTAACAATGCTTGCAGAATATACATTCCAGATCAGACTGCAAAACCACATCGACTTTGGACCTTACTCGACATTCGTGGCGAGGACCAAGGGGCCAGCTGGTAAGTTATGAGACTGTAAAATTAGGTCTTTTCTCTGTTCGGTAAACGGGATGCATTTTGGTCTAGCTTAGGTTCAAAGAAAACCACACAAGCTACGTATGATAAATAAAATACATTTTTACCGAAGCAAGACCAGAATGCGCCACACAAATAAGTTTTGGATAAGTTATGCGACACCATACTTTAATTTTCCCCTCATTAGCACATATAGGGCACTATTTGCAATTGGTACCATTTTGGAAATATCTTCTGGAAATACGATTGATTTGTACGTGTCTTAGATACTCAGATCATCTTATAAAAAAATCGATCCAAAACTATGTTTTTTTCTCTTATTTAAAGTCCTACCAGGAACCCCTGGTAAGCCCTTCGTCAGGGCATCGAGTGACAGTGCAGTGATCTCATGGCAAAATGGTCACAGTGGTAACGTGCCCTTCATCAAGTTTGAGATTCAGTACAGAATACCAGGTAAGTGGCCAAATTTCTGAGAACCTAAAAACAGCGTCAGGGGTCAAGCTTATCATTGCGCATGCGCGATTTTTTGTTTTTGGAGGAACAAAACCAAGGAGCACTTGGTACGAGAGAAGGGGAGCAGTGAAAGCGCTCGCCTGTCACCATTGCGATCGGGTTTCGAGTCCCGCCGCGCGCTCGGTGTCGTATTTCTCTCCTGTGCTTCGAGGGTTTTCTCCGGATTCTCCGGTTTTCCTCCCTCCACAAAAATCAACTCCTAAATTCCAATTCGATCACGGAAAGAGGGCCACAGATGTGTTAGCCACTGGCTATTAAGTTCTACCTTCGTAAAAACAAGGGAGGAAGATGGAAGAAATGAGTTATCGATCGATTGATCCCATGCCAACGACCTGAGATTTTGTCAAAAAGACCTGCTAAAACCCCCAGATCCCTTCTCTTAAAGAAAAGGAAACTTAGTTCAACATTTTATGATTGAATAAATAGGCCAAGGGGATTTTAAAACCAAGTGGACTATCAAACCAGAAGAGCTGCAGAAGAACAAGACATTCGTGTCGTGTATCGTTGGGAACCTTAAGCCAAAGACATCGTATCAATTTCGTATCATTGCCTGGAATGAAGTAGGGAAGTCACCACCTTCACCACCTTCGGATATATCCCCGACAAGTGAGTAGCCTTAGAAAGTCTGTGTCTTTAATATACTTGGCAAAATGTTCATATACAGTTCCCACCTTATCCTGATGCGGTCCATCAGTGTTGTGTTGCATTCTTAGGTCATGAAGTCATACTATATGTACGGACATCAAGAATTAAACTCTCCTCATGTAGAGCTAATCAAATCGCGTATGCTTCTTCAGACGCTGTTTTACAAAATGGCAGTGTGCATTTAGAGATCTTTTTCAGTTTGGGCATATGTTTTCTTATTTTAGATTAAATTTACCACACCACCATTTTTCTTAGTGTCATTTCTTTTTTAAGAAAAGGCCTTATTCAGCTTCTCTTTTCATTGCACATGAGTCTAGCATTGACATAGTCATATTCATGAAGAACATCAACCTTCATATGGTAGATTGGGACTGGTAATTACAACTAGCTGCATTGCAATAAAAGGCTTTGCACCACATCGCATGATGGCAGCCATGACAGGAAGAGAATACAGTTTCCTTGTAAATTAGATAAGACCAGAATCCATTTTTTCTGTCCTGCCATCATTTGATGTCTGAAAGCCTCTAGATCTATTGTCATGTGATACAGACGGTACAGATGAAGGACAGATCTTATGCCTTTCACAGTCATACTATCTGTCCTAGTTATAAAATAGCGCGACTTACTGTTGATATTGTTTATGCTTGATATCCTTGCAGGTGAAGGTATCATACGAAGTCCTTTACCGATGCACAAAAAAACCTGGTTTATCTCAGTGACTGCTGTTCTTGGAGTTATTCTTCTACTTGTGATCATCGGCATCATATTCATTTGTATACGACGACGAAAAGGTCAGTAAAAAGGCAGGATTGGGGACTGTTCCTCCTTTTTGGAGGTCAGTTAGGGACATTTCTCAGCTAAAGAGGAGGCCGCGCTAGTGGTTAAAAATCATTCAGTGCTACTTGATGTCACTGCTCTTTTACATATGGCAACAATTTGGTAAACAAACCTCGAAATCTCCACCCACGTAATTATCTAAAGATCCCCTCGATCCCATGCAGAGATTTGAACAACATCGTAGGTCCCAAAGCATTTTATCAAACGCTTCCCCTCCATGCTTTTTAAAAATGAACGCAATAAACGTCTTTTCCTGTATTGGTTATATTGATGTTCCTAATCGCTTCATGCTAACGAATTTAGTGATAAGCTACAACTCATCGTTATGTTGTATTGGTCGTTACTAGTGAACAAACAATTCAGCGAATGACACGTAATTTGGGATTGGAAGACATTCGTAACCAAGCAGATTTGTATTTAAGCGTCCTCTTTCACAAACAAGGACGACGTGCTGCTAAGTTAGTGGTGTTCTTGGCTGAAACTTTAAGGTCATGTTTAGTTGACTACATTTCTCGTCATTGATCAACAGAGCGCAAGGCTGACCGTCTGAGTAATGTAGGAAGCAGCACGACTCGTAACACACTGGAAATGAACGATGTTAGGAGTGGTTCCATACCAGCACTTCACATGTGAGTAACGTGACCTGTCACTGATTTTGTTTTTTTAATTTCACTGAAGTCCCCCCTGAGGCCCTGAGGTTATTTATTCTCACTCTTGCTTTTGCCGTATTGATGCTCGCTCGTTACAATCGCAGGAAGCGGAAAAGAACCTCTGGAGCCCAGGGTAACTTAAAATGCCTATCATCCTTCTGACTATGATAATAACCATACGTCACAGCATTAGCATATGACATGAAAAAACCTTCATAACTTCAAGAAGCCGCACTCAAACTATGTAATTTTTTCGGGTTATTCAACATCTTACCCCATGTAGAATCAATACTGAGAATATTGTCAGAAGGGTGATAGGCACTTTAAGTTTATTCTTCGATAGAATTCGTTAGCTAAACTTTTACCGTTTACATTTTGTTGTGATTCTAGTTCGTACCGTGACCCGAACGACGAGGAGGTTGAAGTCAGCAGTATTGGCAGCAAGGAAGGTTTGTCATGTGAAGAAGGAAGCGAGCCATCCGCAGGAGATGAAAATTACAACGAGAAAGACAAGATCTCGTTCGTGGATCACTACGCCAATGATCCAAGTCACCAGTCATGGAGAAACTCGCTACATCATCCAGGAAGTTCGCGAGCTCAATATGACGACGATCAACTTGTTAGTATTGTTGACAATGCTCCAAGGCCAAGATTTAAGTCATTTTCTTCTTTGGAAGACAAAGATATGATTATTCCCCCTCCCCCTCCATACGAAAGTCAACCCGAAGACAATAACGACGAAGATATTGACAATCTTCCAACAGAAGCAGTGACGTCATTTATGTCACCCGAATACGAAGCTGAAAAGGCTAGGTCGCTTACTCGTCCAAGGAGCGCGATGTTGAGACAGCCGCCATACAGCAGCCGTGAAGAACTTGATACTAAACCACCGTTAGACGGTAGCAAGAGCCGTATTGAAGGATACCGAGATCATAGAAGTACAGATGATTTGAGGACTGTTCCACGAAGCAGCCGGGACCGTCTGGACCACCAAAATTATAAAGATCCTATACGGGATGGTTTCGTAGGATATGGGACTCTTCCAAATTCACTTAGTCAACCAAGATATCCAAGTTTCCGAAACGCGTATAGGAGACCTCGGGAAAACGCACCAGATTCAGAGGGCTCAGAAAGGTCATCCTCAAGCAACGACTACCGCGACACTCGTAAATTACTCCGCGGTAAAAGTCCAAGCAGCTCCAAATATCCCCGAGCGGGTTATGGTGAGGAGCCTGTTGGTAGAAGACGAAACAGGCCGCCAAATCTACTGATAGGGGATAGGAACAATCGAAGAGACCCACACTACAGTCACAGCACTTCCTCGGGTACCCCGACCTCGCCTTTGTCCCCTGCACCCTCGTATCATAGCTCGTATGATCCTTATGATGCTTCAGATATCCAATATAGAACACTACCTAACCGGTCTAGGCTACCCAGCTACAATAGCAGCCAACAAGCACAGGGACCCCAACATGCTATGCCGCGAAAACAACCTATGATGTATTTAGAAAACGGATTCGTCCAACCGGATCCTAATGATGACATACAAATATCTGCCTATCAATCATTTGTGTGAAATAMAAAGAACATGTGATCAGATCACGTGATGCATAGTAAAATGAGGATGCCTGGCTAGGTTGAAGATGAGGTACATGGCTGTATCAGATCTACCCTAGATCTGGCTTTAAACACTTTACATGGTGGTTTGAATGGATAAAGATAGACACAGTGGCCAAGATAAAAAAAGGGCCTTAAAGATCTTATAGGAAAACAGGCGTGATATGCTTAGGTGTTTTTTGTAGAAAAAGGATCAGGCCATTAGAATAGATTGTAAGAGGATGTTCAAAGACACAAGATTAACAATGAAAAAGGCTGATGTTCAGTCTTCTTACGGAATAAAGAAGTCACATTACTTTATTTTAATTGAAGAGATGTGCTACATGGGGTGCGACCTGAAACACTGCTGCCAATTTTAAAAGATGCTGTTGAAGAGCATTTGTCTACAGCCAACAAGAATTCAAAGCTACTGAATTGCAATTAAAAACACTGACAAATGTACCCAACAGCTTTGTTTCATCCGTTTCGTACCTTTTAAAATTCCCACAGCTTAGAAGAATTTTTTTTAATAAAAAGAATAACAGAAGACTTGAAATACAACAGCAACAAAATATTTTGATACGAAAGACAAATATTTTTGGCGTAAATTTTGAGGAAATGATTGTAGTCGCCAAACGAGTTATTCCATGAGAGAAGACTAGGAATAATATTATAATTCATTAATTTTGTCATCGATAGTTTCTTTAGTTTTGGAGAATGTTTGAATTTGTTCAAAGAAATTGAATCTGCATTCTCGCAAACACTAACAGAAGTAAAAGATTAACTTTGGAAACTTTACGAAAATTAAAGCCAACTGACTGCTCTAGTTTAGAATAAAAATAAAAGCTATTTAAAGAAGAAACAAGAATATTTTGTAAGTTTTTTGTCAAGTTGTAGTAATATTTTTGTAAACAGTTGCTGGTATAAAAGTTGTAAAAGAATAAATAATAACAAGAGTATCGCAAGATACTGATAAGTAAGTATGTTCGTCTTTTCTTTGGTTCGTCGGAATACATCCCTATGATCCCTATGCCTCTGACTAGACTTGTGGGGCTATAATCGGGGGGGGGGGGTTATAACCGTACACGGTATAGCCCGGAGACAACAGCAATTGATTGTGTTCCTTCGTCAGCAGCATTGACGGTGAGAAACACTTTTTAAGCCTCTTTGAAAATACGAAATATTATATAACCATGCAGCACTATTATAAAGGGCTCTACTTAACAGTTATTCCACGAACTTGAGTCGTACATGAGCTCATAGCCAACGAGGCCTCCTAGCCGAGCTGGCTATTCTTCGATTGCACGTTACATCATCGCGGCCATGTTGGCGCCATTCATCAAAAGATTTCTCATTAGTTAACCATTATCATGTCTGTTCGCGTGGGTAATAGTTTTGTTTTCCCGAGAGTCTCGAATGGAAAAAAAAACTAATAGCTCTTATCGTAGATGAGCACGCCACCCCAACAAACCAGCGGTATCGTGATGAATGTAGCATCAAAGCGAGACTATCGGGTCGAGCTTCGGATAATTCGCTAAGAAATTTACTACAAAACTTCGAGGGATCATTACATTTTGATGGACATCTTTGTTATACAAAGAATTTTGTAGTCTTTCTAACTATGGTCAATCACTATATAGCTTTTGGATAAGACTGTTGCTCCACACTTCAACAATTCACATTGAACTTTACCCTTCTCGTTCGGCTCGACTCCATAAACATAAACACAGTGGATTGACTACACATTGACTCTTACATTCATTGTCGTTAGCCACTTCGACACTCAAAACAAGGGATTCGTTCTTTTGCAAGACTGAGCCGTGGAGTGGTTCAAAAAAGTTCCCGTACATAAAATCGCCTTTCTTTGAAAAAAGGAATGACAAGTCGGCAGAACAAATTATATAAAGTTGAGATAAAAGAAGAATTATCGCTTCATGCTTTTGAAAGTTTTCCATTCTCGGAGTTCTTTACAAAACAATCTTAACCGAATCGAATCGAATCGAATAATGTAGCCGCCTATGCCGATTGGCTATATATAGCCAGCTCACACGTTGTCCATAAAACTTTAATTGACGAAATATTTCATGTTTAATGACGAAATTCTTTCGAGAAAACAGCTGCTTGCCTTACAGCCAAAGTATTGAGAGGTGACAAGACCCCTAGCTGTAGCTTTATACCAGCAATCACTGATAAGGTCAACAATCACCATTAGATTAGACTGAGAAATCGGAGTGAAAAGAAAAGAAAGAAAAACGAAACGAAACGAAGCGAAATTATTCCCCTCAGGCTCAGTAATTATGGTGAATATTTAGACTCTCGACTCATTTACCGATAATCACTTCGCCATATACTCATCCAAAAATTCTGCAATTTTTAAAAACTTGATGTGTACGTGTCTTTTCCTTCCGTCAAATGTTACTGACAGTTACTATAGACCATATGAAAAACGAGTGTAAGAGTGGGAACGAGCACCACGAACAATTGATGATTTCAAAAATATTTTTTCATTGCAATTAAAGCCATGTCTAAATTAGTAATTTCGGAAATGTCTGTTGTCATATATTAAATCCCTGAAGAGTTATAAGCATTTATAATGTACCGAAAACATGATAGCGATGCTGATAGACCCTTGGTTGTTGTTTCCATACTGACAAACCTTTCTAATTTCAAACACTTGTAGCTTTTTACCATTTAATGTTACTACACTGAAATTTTAGAAGATCAATAATTTCGATATACTCTTTCTAATGAAAGCATTGTTGTCTTCTATAACTGATGAACTAAGGTATCTCAAATGACACGCCCTTTTTCATATGGTCTTTATTTCGTGAATGTTAATGCAACTTGGCTCGATAGATTTTGCGAATTCGGCAGACAAAATTATGGCATGCGCAAGTCTATTTACGAAGAATCTCAGAATACGAAGTTTCATAGAAATGCGATCGATTTTTGAGCGAACAGGAGGTAGGTACTATGAAAAACCACTGTTAGAAAATCGGCCCGCAACGGCAAACGCGACTCGAAAACAATATTTCAAATTCACCATTAAAAGCTTAAGTGTTTGAGCTACTACATGTGCTATATTCAGAAATATCCGAATGTTTTTAACGTGAGACGAGGGAGTGAAAAATTCGCTAAGTTCACTCGAATCATAATGGAGTCACCTTCGAAAATAATTTAGCTTATCTGACACATTGTTCTTGCGGCTATTGTTTTGATATAATTACAATGATTTCTGGCTGACACGTGGTCTGAAATGGAAATGGGTAAAATTAAACCCAAGCTTGAGAGATCTTCCGATTATCATTTCAGCTTCCAATTATACTGCAGCAAATTAGATAACAGGTGGTTCCTGTTTACATGAGCTGTCCATTATAGAGTTAATAGAATTATTATTCTCTGTCATGATTTTGTCACGAGGGGAGGTGAGGAAGTACTACTTCCCTATCGGACACATAGATTCTTGTTGCTTTTTGTGGGTCTTCTGTTCTTTTTATTGCGAGTACAACTGAGCTAACTGCAACTGCAACTCCAACTCCAACTTCAACTTCGACTCCAACTCCAACTCCAACGTTAACTTTGATTCCAACTACTAAATTCTGTGCTACATGCACTTAAATTGTATTGGTAAAATTAATGAGAGTAGTATACAGAATAGGGGCTCTACGCCGGGTGGATCAGTGCGGATCGCGGATCAGCCCTAGAGATGACCTGTCCAGATGCCCGAAGAGGGGGTCTGGAAGATCGCTCCGGAGTTGCTATCTTCACCGGAATGGCTTCTGATTGGTTCTTAAATCCTATGACGTCACGCTTTAGGCTCTGACGTCAGTAGTAGTAGTGCGATGACGTCATCTCTAGGGCTGATCCGCGATCCGCCCTGATCCGCCCGGCGTAGAACCCCTATTCTGTATACAACTAATGAGATCTCTTACAATCATTCCTATTGGCTAGCTAAAAGTAAGCATAATAATAATTAGCTAGTTCCCAATTCCCAAGGAGGAATTTGAACTATCCTAAAATTATATTATTCATACTATATGAATTTGTTTAGCAACTTAACAGTCACTAGACTACATAGTTTCCTAACAGGTACTAAAATAATACTTAACCGTTAATCGAAATTAACGGAGATTTCTATACTCCAAAGTGGGGCTATCAGTCGATTACTAACAGCGCTCAGTCACTTAATATATTCAGCAAGATTGGGACAAACATCTCCCAATCGTTACTTAAAAATAGCTAAAAATAATCTTAGAAATATTATCGCAAATCCTTTCGCTGTTTCTTTCTATCTATCTAACGTTGACATTGCGGCTTCCCAAACATGACTTTAATTTAATTAAAAACCTCTTCTTATTGTTTACTTATTCCTATCTTGTCATGTTTTTCCTATGCTCTCTTTTCGGCCATCTAACCCAGATGTTTTTTCAAAGACTCTCTGGCGTTCACTGAGCCACGAATGGTTTTTCTCATGCCTAATTCATTTCGATAATTTCTTCTTTACAATTTCATCAATTTATTCTTAATATTATATTTTTATTAATATCTTCATTACAAATAGAAACATGTCTAAATTATTAATTTGCGGAAAGTTCTGTTGTCATATATTAATCCCTGAAGAGTTATAAGCATTTAGAATGTACCGAAAAAATGATAGCGAAAAAAAATGATAAACGTGGCTAAGGAAAAGGAAAAAACGGAATAAAAATACAACGAAGAGTGCAGGGCGGTTTTGTGCAAAATTCTAAGAACAACAACAAGGACAAGAACAACCTATGATGGAAACCCCAAACTTTATTAACCCGATCAAAACGTTTTTCCTTATTTAATTATTCATTCATTTAAAGTAAATATTTACCCAGAAAGTAGATTAATTTTTCGTTATCATGACTGATCTGATTATCATTTAGCAATATTCCCATCCTTCACATCTTTTTGGACCATGAAACAATCTCTGGGCTGATCAAAGTCAGGAAAGGACTAATTCATGCAGAGATCAAATATTTTGAAAGGATTTTTTTTTTTTTTTTTTTTTTAATTCCTTTTTTGAGAAATTTTAGCTTTCCACTCGGACGTAAAAACGGTAACTAGGAAAGAGCCGGTAGAACGATGAATGCGCGATCGGTTTCTGAATCAAAGTTCACGCAAAAATTACTGTCACCCAATAGACGAAATAATGCAGATTAAAATTTTTGGATCTCATTGGTTGATAGGGCAGGTGCCTACAGTTGATGACATCGTTAAATTGCAAAGCAAATTCTGCTATAGAGTAAACGTTTAATAATGGATAAAATAAGTAAAATAGCATCGGGATCATGATGTCTCGTATCTCCAGCTCAGCCGATATGATTAACATCACACAAAAATTAGGCGATCAAGGAGGAAGTGTTCTTGCCCTAGTCTATGTATGGCAAAATGCTCCCGCATTGTTCATCGCCGTCGTCTGTCTTTATTTTCTTCTCATCATCACTGGTATCATCCTCAATACTCTGGTCTGTTATGTGATGATCAAGAGCAAGCGATACCTTAAGAACATCAGCTGTTTCTTTATTACTCATATGGCCGCCGTGGATTTGTTCTGTCGTGTGGTTCTCATTCCTGTTGTGGTTTACATGTCTCTCCCGACTAAAGCTGTACAGAGTCCCATCCCATGCAAGATCAGTACATTCKTGTCAAATTCTTGTGCAGGGGCMATATTTGGTAGCCTTGTCGTTATTGCCATCGACAGATATTTCARCATTGTTCATCCTCTTAGCAGCCTGAAGCGAAAAAAGCGGCCGTTCTTTCTCGGGGTGTTGGTTTGGATCTATGCTGTCGCATCGTCAGTTMTGTTTCTTCACACTGTCCACAACGTTCCACTTAGTGACCTGCCAGAAGCTAAAGACATCGAACGAGTTGGTAACCCGACTTCATGCGACATCATCCCTGGTTTGATTGGCGGTCTCTCTGTCACCATTTCTGCTGTTATGATATTTGTAATACCTCTTGTAACCCTGATCATAACTTACACAGCAATATTTGTMAGCTTGAGACGTCGATGTCAGAATGGTTTGGTCCATAACGTTGCCGCAAAGTCCAAAGCAAAAGCGGCCCGAATGCTGATCCTTGTGGTAATCGGGTTTGTAATTACATCTGGGCCTTCTGTTGTGGTTCAAACGCTCCGCTCATTTAAGGCTTTTGAAGATGCCAATAGCGAGAGTCTTGTCATCGTTCTGGTCATTGCAGACATCCTTCAGTTCTTTAGCTCCTTGTGCAACCCACTAATTTACTCGTTTTACAGTGATGACTTCAAGAAAGACATGATCAAATGTTGTTTTGGGATTTATGTAAAGTGTACACCTTTTCGCGGTCAAAAGATTGCTGACACAGGTAATTCCAGACCAACAGCACCAAGTGTGATGACAACCAGCTTCTGAGCCATCGTCACGTAAAACGATTTGAAATTCTCATTTGATCCTGATTTGAGAAATTCTCGTGATACTATTTTTTCTTTCTTAATAATGGTAGCGGAAGAAATATTTCGTAGAGTATAAATCAATATTCCTTACGCAAAAATCCTATTTCCAAGGGTTTAAGATTGGAAAGTTCTTTTTTTTTTTTCGCGCCAGTAAATGGTCCCATTGGACAATAGGCATTGATTTGATCGATTCTCGTGATACTGTTTTTTTTTCTTTTTTAGTAATGGTAGCGGAAGAAATATTTCGTATTTAAATCAACATTCCTTACGCGCAAAAATCCAATTTCCAAGGGTTTAAGATTGGAAAGCCCTTTACTCGCGCGAGTAAATGAGCCCATTGGCCAATAGGCAATGTGCACGAGCACGAATCTCTAGCACAAAGCATGATGGGAAACAATTGTTGTCTGTTCCATGCTGTATATCAAAAAATCMCATTTTAGCTTTCCACTTGGACGTAGAAACAGTAACTAGGAAGGAGCTGGTAGAATAATGAATGCGGGATCGGTTTGTGAATCGTTTATAGACGAAAAAATGCAGATTAAAATTCTTGGATCTCATTGGATGATAAGGCAGCTGCCTAAAGTTGCTGACATTGTTAAATTTGCAAAACAAATTTTATTTGCTATAGTGCAAAAGTTTTATAATGGATAAAACTAAGTAACATAGCATCGAGTTAATTCAACGTTCTTGTTTATACAGTTGACTAGATCATGCTTTATTTCTGACCACATACACGCATAAAATTCTTTAGGAATTCCGTTATTTCCGGGCGTCTTACAAGCCCCCACAACTTTGATTYAAAGCACTATAACATTCTTGAATTGGTATTTTTCTTTTACAGATTTCTTTATCCTCGTCTGACCTTAGGAACTTTATAACTTGATAAAAAAAATTATACAGTCTTCATCCATTTTGGGTGACTTTTTTTTTGAAGAAGCTACTAAAATGCTTTTCGACCTTTTTCAGTATTTCTCTTGGTTCTATTAATTATTACGTTATTATCTTTGTCTACTAGTTTCTTCATATGTGTTTTCGCTTTATTTCGGTTCTCTAAGGTAAGAAAATACTTATTACTTTTTTCACCATACTCATACCATGTCGCTTTAGATCATATTATGATGCCTTCTGTCAGTTATGAAATTGCTCTTTTCTTCTAACGTTTTAATTCTTCAGTCCATCATGTTTTGTAACAAAGACTTCACATTMTTCCCCCCTTTCTATGTTTTCTATCTTATTGATTTGACTTGTCTAACTCTTCGTATTCCGATCTCCTGCTTCGCGCTAATTTTTTTGAAACTATACATAGAAAATTTACGCATTTCATATTTAATAAGTTCCCATCTCAGCTGGAGGTTCGAAATATACCTTCCTTATCTAGAGATCTTTTAAAGTTTTCAATTAGATTTTTTTAAAGTAATGAAACATTTAACTTCCAAATCGACTTTCCCCTCTGTTGTTCTTGGATAGATTTTAAAGTGCACATGACACGAAAAAATTTTAATGTTAAAAATGTGTATTTTATTGGCATTAATAAGAATATTACAGTTAAATTTGTTTCAAAAACGTATTTCTCTAGAAATTCAAGAAAATTCAGTACAAGTCGTGGCGTCATTTCGTTTGCAAGTCTCCAGATGTAGTTGTAAATACACGAAATATGTTTGAATGTAGAATCTTAATTTCAGGTAGTACAGTTTTCAGTTTCCCAACATTTGAAGAGTACTACGTAAGCTTTCAACTGAAGCTGAATAGAATATGCCTTTTGCTGTTATTTTATACGAATTACAATTTATATTTAGTGCATTACTACTGAATTTAGAGTACGTGCAGTCAACAAAATGAGGTCACACATTAGGCTTAATTTTCTGACATATCTCAAGAAATAAGCTTTTGAAACGAATTTCATTACGATATATTTATTATTACTAACAAACTATACACTTTAAACGATGAAATGTTTTCGTGTCATATACACTTTAAATGTAATGAGAAAGCAGAGTGATCTGTTGATGGGGCTGGAATAATATCACATTCTTCTTATCCGACACGAAAAAGAAGTCTATAATCTACGGTGAATATATTGATTTAAATTCCTGTTCCTGCCCTGTCCCACTCCCCTCCAAGTAAATCTTCATACATACATACATACATAATCTTTATTTAAACACGGATGTCTTATCATACAAAATGCTCTTCCTAAGAGCCGTGTTAAACTTACAATAGAATAATAAATATAAATTGTATAACTAGAAATAAAAATAAAATTATATAAATGTATATGTATAACTTATAAGATATGAATAATTGGAAAAGTCAAAAATATTCAATATTCTGTCAGCTGCGGCACAACACGACCTCACCTTAGTAAAATTGGTAAAGGGGGAGAGTACCTCCGCTGGCAGAGTATATTACGAATTCTACTTATTGAAGAAAATCATCCAGTGACTTACGGAAGTTACTTAATATGTTGACATACTTTTTATATTATCAGGGAGGCTATTCCAAAGAACAGCCCCTCTGTAGTTAAAACTGCGTTTCCCTGATTCACCATTTTGTCTGGGTACAAATAAGCCGTGATAAGATCCTCTTAGATTATGGGAATGAATGTTTCTTGTATTCTTAAACATATCTGTTAAGTAATGTGGAGAGCTATTGTTCAATGCTTTGAACATTAATATGGCAGATTGTTTCTGCCTTCGAACATCTAGTCTATCCCACTTAAGCTCATAATAATGATAATAATAATAATAATAATAATAATAATAATAAACAACTCTATTTCAAGAGGGGACATTTGACAGTGGGAAATTTAGTAGCTCGCTGGATCTTTTGTCGTAATTTGAAAAGGTGACAACTCTTGCCGCTCTGTTCTGTAGGATTTGCAGAGAGTCAGACAAACCTTTTCCAAAGTTACCCCATACTGGACTGAATCTTATACTAAGATTTCTCAGTCTCCAAATGCCACAAAGATCTTGTTCTAGCAAAATAGTTTCCACAATTGATATCGAGTTTAATTTGAGTATGCGTTTCCTCCTGTTGACTCTCCAGATCAGTGTCAAAGATTATATCAAAATCACCTCCTCAAATATTTTATGTATCCAACGGACAATCTATCCTAATTAATAATATTTCTACCATTTTTTCAGATAGATTAAACTCTTCCTTTTAATAAATTAAGTAATTAATAAACAAAAAATTTTGTCCTTGTATTTCTGATAGTACATTATAACGTATCTTCCTTCATCGTCCAAAATTTGTTCTTTGATTGAATGAGTAAGTTTGTTTCCAAAAAGAATTGTCGTGCCTTTATTTTTGGACGATCTGTGAGACTGACTAGATTTCCTCTTGTTCTCCTTCTCCATTCGTTTTCTATTTCAGGAGAACTGTGTGTTTCTTGTATAAATGTCATTCCTTTGTCACCCCCGTGCTTTGTAAACCAATTCATTAGTTTTCTATTCTTTCTCTATTCCCTTAGGCCTCGCACATTTAGTGAGAGTAAATTAAAATTAAAATCACTCATTTAGGGCTCTTGTTTTTAAAACATTTGACTTTTAAATTCAATTCAACGGGACGAATGTTTTTCATCGATCGAATGACTACTATTTCCCTCCACTATGATTAGCGAAATAAATACATACAATCTGCGTTACAGTTTTAGACTTCACCCGCTCGGTGTATCGGGATCATAATGTCTCGTATCTCCAGCTCAGCCGATATGATTAATGACATACAAAAATYAGGCGATCAAGGAGGAAGTGTTCTTGCCCTAGTCTATGTATGGCAAAATGCTCCCGCATTGTTCATCGCTGTCGTCTGTCTTTATATTCTTCTCATCATCACTGGTATCATCCTCAATACTCTGGTCTGTTATGTGATGATCAAGAGCAAGCGATACCTTAAGAACATCAGCTGTTTCTTTATTACTCATATGGCCGCCGTGGATTTGTTCTGTCGTGTGGTTCTCATTCCTGTTGTGGTTTACATGTCTCTCCCGACTAAAGCTGTACAGAGTCCCATCCCATGCAAGATCAGTACATTCKTGTCAAATTCTTGTGCAGGGGCMATATTTGGTAGCCTTGTCGTTATTGCCATCGACAGATATTTCAGCATTGTTCATCCTCTTAGCAGCCTGAAGCGAAAAAAGCGGCCGTTCTTTCTCGGGGTGTTGGTTTGGATCTATGCTGTCGCATCGTCAGTTMTGTTTCTTCACACTGTCCACAACGTTCCACTTAGTGACCTGCCAGAAGCTAAAGACATCGAACGAGTTGGTAACCCGACTTCATGCGACATCATCCCTGGTTTGATTGGCGGTCTCTCTGTCACCATTTCTGCTGTTATGATATTTGTGATACCTCTTGTAACCCTTATCATAACTTACACAGCAATATTTGTCAGCTTGAGACGTCGATGTCAGAATGGTTTGGTCCATAACGTTGCCGCAAAGTCCAAAGCAAAAGCGGCCCGAATGCTGATCCTTGTGGTAATCGGGTTTGTAATTACATCTGGGCCTTCTGTTGTGGTTCAAACGCTCCGCTCATTTAAGGCTTTTGAAGATGCCAATAGCGAGAGTCTTGTCATCGTTCTGGTCATTGCAGACATCCTTCAGTTCTTTAGCTCCTTGTGCAACCCACTAATTTACTCGTTTTACAGTGATGACTTCAAGAAAGACATGATCAAATGTTGTTTTGGGATTTATGTAAAGTGTACACCTTTTCGCGGTCAAAAGATTGCTGACACAGGTAATTCCAGACCAACAGCACCAAGTGTGATGACAACCAGCTTCTGAGCAATCGTCACGTAAAACGATTTAAAAGTCTCACTTGATTTGAACAATTCTCGTGATACTATTTTTTCTTCCTTATAATGGTAGCGGAAGAAATATTTCGAAGAGTAWAAATCAACATTCCTTACGCAAAAATCCTATTTCTAATGGTTTCAAGATTGGAAAGCCCTTTACTCGCGCGAGTAAATGGTGCCATTGGACAATAGGCAATGTGAACGAACACGATTCTCTAGAACAAAGCATGATGCGAGTACTACACAAATCAGAACAAGGAAATCAATAGGTGAAAATGTGGAAGGAAAAAACTTGCAGACGGGGATTTTTAGAGGAGCTGAAAAACCGTAAGTAATCAGTTTTCCATCATGCTTTGTGCTAGGGATTTATTTTTATCTTTATTTTCAACGATATAAAGAGGAGAACGCGATACAAGAAGGTCTCTATTCTTCGTTTGCAATAGACGTCATAGCGGGCATGTTGGAAGAATTTGAAAAAAGATATTTTTAACAAATTCTGTTACATCTTCTAACACGGCGACCATGGCTTTCGTTATTTTACTTGGGAATGATTGCAAACCAAGAATGGGGGTCCAAATGTCAGTCGTCTGTTAAAAGTTTACTTATTCCTCAGCCTTCAGTCAAAATTCGATTATTGCTCAGTCGTGAGTTAAATTTCAAGTTGTTCGTTAGTTGTCAGTTTAAATTAATACAGCATTTCTCCAATCAAACCTATAAAAACTGTAAGCGAATTAAGGAAGCATGATACGAATGCAGATCACTTTAATAAAACTTTCAAGTGGACAGATGGAAAGGAAGGTTTCTTCGTTTATGCGGCCCGCATAAATTTAAACTCAATTTTAAAGCAGAAAACGTTTTCGTTTGAATTATTTTCCTGACCCAGTATAATTTTCCTATAATGTCTGTATATGGAAATACACCTTGAAATCAAACTTTGCTGTTTGATAAGTAAAATTTAATAACGTAAAAGAAAGTATTATCCAGATGTAGTTTTAGATTAAAATGTCATATGTTGTTAGGCTAAAAAGGCATTAAGCGCGACATGGCACATATCGGGGTTGTTGGACCGTAACTATAAGCAACCTGAAAAAAAATTAATAAATAAAAAAGGAGAAGAAAAAAGAACCAACTATATGATAATTATTCAATAAGGTTAAATCAGCAAAAAGATTGTTTTTTCCTTTTCTTGACGTTTCGACGCCGTCGGGCATTATTAGTCTCAAGAGTAAAGAGGTGAACTGAATTGCAAGTACTCTTAAAACACTCATTAATAATTCATGAGCTTATGGTCCAATTGGAGCCACCATACACGTCACGTGAATGAACCTTTATACCCGATAAAGTCCTCTTCATTAGTATTCAAGTGATCTTTATATAAAGACCACTCGAATACTATGAGGATGACTTCATCAGGGATGAAGTATGCTTTATATCCAAGTTTAGATGAAGATATAGAGCTTCATCAAGGTCATAGTCAACCCTAATGATCTTTGACTAACGTGCCTGTCTTTGCCTTGGCACGCAATACCCAACGTGTGGGAGCTTCTATTGAATCTAGTTGCGCATGCCCGTGACGTCAAATCTCTATCGAAGTATAAAAATCCATGTTCGTGACGTGTATGGTGACTCCAGTTGAACCAAAATCTTATAAATTGTTCATGAGTGTTTTAAGCAGTTCAAAAAACTCGTAGATCGTGTTTTATCAGGTATAAAAGTACTCGGCTACGCCTTGTGCTTTTATACCTGATAAAACACTCCTACTCGTTTTTTAAACACTACATAACATTGTCAGGGAATAAATCACTCTTGATAATGATTGCTTATGGCGTCGAAACGTCGAGAAAATTGAGCAAACTTGTCGCCACAAATTTTATATCTAAAAACTTAAAAACGAAATGTCTAGTTATTAATAATAATCTTTATATAATAACCATTCTTGCAGCGGAAATTAAAACTGAACAATGGGTTGAAACAAAGAAAACGAATATAATGTATATATTTAAAACTATAATACGATGGAAATAAAGATGAAAAAGTACCTATATATTATATATATTGCTGCAACCTTCCTTGTTATTCTATTCCCCATGGTGGTTGCACCTTTCACTTTTGTTCCTTTATATTTCTTTATCTTACAAAAGACTGATGTAGCCCGTGGTCCATGCTCTTCGTCTGAATTTACTGGTTACATCATCCTTTCGTTCTTATGCCCTTTATATACTAGTTGTTTGGCTATTCAACTATATATATATATATATATATAACATACGATAGAGATAAAGGTGGAAATTTAAATGTAAAAAATGGATTTTACGGATTATACATCAAAAATGACACAACTAGTAGGAATGAAACTTCTCCGATATCTTTCGGTACGGCACTGTGGTGACCCAAAATGTGCGTGATCTACGTAGGCTGTAGCCGATGGTCCGCTGTGGTACTAAACTTTGGATGTTGTGGCTGGGGTCTTTCATGTTACAGAAGATTCGAGAACAGAGAACATTACGTCTTGCTTCAAAAGTGGAGATCTTAGCAGCGTTCATGGCATCAGAATAGCTATGTTGAGGAAAAATGCTACGCAAGACTCTTTTATGAATAGCCTCCGACTGATCATGTAAATACGCCCTGTGCCACACCCCACATGCATATTCAAGTGTGGGTCTAATACAGGTGAGATAAATTGTCACCAAGGTGGCACTGGGGAGAGTACTCCTCTTCACGGAGCAACCTCAGAGCGTAAAGCTTTTTGGACGCTTTCCTACAGATGTCATCGATCAACATGCAAGTTGATCGTCAGGTCGTCAGATATAGTGACTCCAAAATTTTAGCATGCTTTACGATGTCAACAGACACATCGTCAATAGAAATGGTTTCGTGAGTCACAGGTTGAGAAGAGAAACATACGCGCAATTCTTTAGTCTTAAAGCCGTTTAGTTTCAAGTTGTTAGAAGACGCGCAACGAACAGACTTGTCAACGATATTAGGGAAATTATAATCATTGTTCTTCGACAGTACTTCCCATACTGTCGTTTCTGTTTCAAGACGCGTTCGTGTTCATGGGGGAAGAGTTATGCTGTTTATTGAACTAATGACATGTCCTAAGTATCTAATTACAATTACGTAAAAGGTAATATTGTAACAGTATCTTCAACGTACTTTACCATATTCCAAGAATTCCTCAGATTATTTACCATTATCAAGAATAAGAGGGGGCCAAGTTTTGTTCCCTGAGGGACACCAACGTTTATGTACTTCTAATCAGAAAAGTGATTGCCAACACGTGTCCTCAGCATTCTGCCAGACAAGAATTTCAAAAATAAAGAATTACTAAAGAATTAAGTTAAAAAAGCACTGAAAGTGAAGGCCTTGATCCGACGTTTACCATGTGAGGTTATCTTTGAGTAGAAATAAAACATTGAAGGAAAAACGATCCGACGAAAATAAGTGAATTCTTGGCTTGAAAATATTGGTATTCCAAAAAAGTTTAATTTTCTGGTCCTTTTCTATTATTTTTTTAAATGTTTGTTTGTTTGTCTGTTTGTTTGTTTGCTTTTGTTTTTTTGTTGTTTTTTTTAACCTTTTTCAACGCTCAATGCATTTGAGTTTCGTAGCGTCCATCTTGTGTGCGACTTCTATCGCCTATAAGGTTTTCAAGATACTCTTCTTAACAGATTTGAAGCTTTTCCTAATTAAGTTTAAAGTATCCTGGARATTAATTACCAAGAACCCAAGAGCAGCTAAATATGCGACCACCTGTAGTTAAATCTTATCGAGCAGGTTCCAGCAGCTTCTTCGAGAGCAATTATGGTTATCCTGCGTCACATCCGGAATTTTCTTCGTAAATGCGAAGAAAATTCCGGATGAGACGCAGGCTAAATTATGGTGTGCTGACAATACGCCTGCTGTAGAAAAAAATATACGAAAAAGTTTCGAATCACGATTTCTTTCAAAAAAAACAAAATTAAACAAAATTTAATGCTTGTTTCAAATCTGGAAGAAAAAAAGGGTATCCCGAGCTCGTTTTCGAGATATCCACGATTAAACATAAGCGTATAGATAACTTTTGAAGAAAAAAACGCAATTAAAAAGTTCTTTTAGCTCTTTTTGTATGAGTAAAACCAATTTTTCTCAAACTTTGTCAGACGTTTCTTTATTATGTCCCCTTTCGGAAACTCCTTTGCAAAGTTTGAGAGGTTTGCCCTGTTGAAGTTTAAAACGCGTATCGGTTCCTCAATAAAATCAGTTTTAAAGGTCATTCGCGGGTTTGAGCAGTTTTTAGTGCACTCGCACATCGTCAGCTATCGTAGGAGCGTGCGCAGTGCCTTAATTTTTTTATAGTAGGCAGCCAACTTAAAGGGGCACTTGGATGAGAATGGATAAAAATTGGAAATGACTTTAAACTTAATCAAACGTGTCTATAGGGCCCCAATCGTAGCCAAGCAACATATTTTCTTCACAGTAAAATGTCCCAGATAAAAATTATCAATTTTATTTAGCATATAAATTGTGAGTAAATGACGTCATTTACTCAACTCTATTGTTATTTTCTCTTTTAACCCAAAATTTCTCAACTGCAAGTGGCTCCCAGGCAAAACTTTTCACTAATCTGGTTTACATAATCATAATTGAGTGAAATTATCCTCAAATACTTCAATTATTCGGACTTTGAAAAATTGGGGCGTTTTCATCCAAGTGCCCATTCAATCTATAACAAACGATAAACAATATCCTGACTTAAAGAAGAAAAATCCGTGGTCTCATTTCAACTTCTATTTAAGTCAAAACATTTTTAAGCCTAATATCCTCGGCTAAATGACAAGTTGTCCTTTCATTTGTCTTGTCCGTCAAGTTGTTCCCTCTCTCTCTCTCTCAGTAAACAATAATTGGATGGACGCAACAAAAAAAAGTACGGAATCACCTGGAACTCTGTCATGACTAGCTCATCCATCGATAACCGAAGCAGAGTTGAACATATCATGATGTCACAGGAGTGGAACCTGTTGCTCGTGGCGATGCCCTTGGATCACAAACTTTTCGATTACAGAAATGCATCTTTCTTCGAATTTTAGCAGCATTGCAAATATTGAGCAAGTCTTTTCGGAAGTCTTCGCTGAAAAAGGTATATATCAATGGGTTGAATAAAGAGCTGCAAAACTCAAGCGTGTCTGTTACTAACACTACGATGACCATAGTAGGTCTTTGGTTGTTCTCGCCTGCAAAGACTTCGTACGATCGAAGCAGTTGAACCACAACTGAAGGGCCAAAACACAAAACAAACCCGACCACAACAAGAACAAGCATTCGAGCTGCCTTTCCTTTGGCCTTTGCCACAGCATTATGAATTAATTGTCTTTGGCATCGACGTCGCAGGCTGACAAATATCGCTGTGTAAGTGATGATGAGGATCGTGAGAGGGACGAAAAATGTCATGATGGCAGAGATGGTGACGGAGATGCTGCCAATGTAATCGTCGGGAGAAATGTTACAACTTGTTGGGTTTCCAACTAATTTCATGTTCCTTCCCTCTGGTAGCTTCTCTAACGTTACGTTTTGAGCAGTGTGAAGGAACATGACTGACGACGCGATTGCATAGAACCAGACCAATGAAACGACAAATAAGGGCCGCTTTTCCTTTTTGAGACTACGAAGAGGATGAACAATGTTGCGATATCTGTCGATAGCAATGACGACAAGGCTACCAAAGATGGCCCCTGCACATGAATTTGACACGAATGTACTGATCTTGCATGGGATGGGACTCTGTACAGCTTTAGTCGGGAGAGACATGTAAACCACAACAGGAATGAGAACCACACGACAAAACAAATCCACAGCGGCCATGTGAGTGATAAAGAAACAGCTGATGTTCTTAAGGTATCGCTTGCTCTTGATCATCACATAACAGACCAGAGTATTGAGGACGATACCAGTGATGATGAGAAGAATATAAAGGCAGGTGATGGCGATGAAAACTGTTGGTGCAGCTTGCCAAAAATCAACAAGAACAAGAACACTTCTGCCATGATGAAATGTTCGGCCCCTGTTTGAGTTCTTGGTGAGGGAATTCTCGGTCGTTTCACTTTTAGACAAATAAGCCATATTTTCAGGGCATTAGATCTTCAATATTTTCACGAATTCAGGATTTTAGTTTAAAGAAAAGGAATACCCTTTTTTAAGTATCCAGCAAGCAAATCGTAAGCTTTGAAAAAAACAAAAAAAAACTTAAGAAGGTTAAAAGAGCCTTCAATTGTTACTTGCTTTCCTTAATTGATCTTCTTCAACGAACAAACGAAAATAGTAAATTAGCAATTTCGAAATTTTCAGTCTCACTGATCTCCTGGCAATGTGACTTTTTAATGCCATCAATACAGCCGATATACTAATCGGTTTGTTTAAGCACTGACACGAGTGCCAACTCGTATTACTTTACTTAACAACCGAGGCTCCTGATTCGTTAAGTGCTAACATTGATCCTAAATAAACTCTGTTGTATCCGTATTCAATTTCTAATAAATGCTTGAGATATTTTTCTGAAAGTAATTAATTCGGTAAATAATAAAAAGTGTCAATTCGGTTTCAGTTTTTCGGTTGAACATAAACTCACGAATTGGTTTTCACATTTTAGCGTTTCAGTATAGTGAATGAAAAAGGGAAAAATGTAAATATTCAAAATAATTCCACAAGATATCTTGTGACTTGCTGACAACTCACTGCAGACAAATTTAAATTTCTGTGGAAAACATATGACACTGCATATGATCCTCAAGAAACTGGATTTTTTTCATTTACATAAGATATTTCTTTTCCGATCGTTATCTCATTTCAAACTGAAATTAATATGACACTAAAAGAAATTGTCTAAAGGTAGACTCCGAACCTTCAAAATTTATGATGTAACATTAGAGAAGCAATTCAATCTTTTCCAAGGAAGGCGGTATATTGATATTAACATAGCTCAGAAGTCTACTATTTTTAAAATGTGAGGATGAATGATATTTGCTCATCAAACTAAGCATTATTGTATAGTTCTACCCTAATCGTAAACACTCGAGTTTATTTTATTTTCTATTTGTGTAAATATACTTTTATTTTTCTTTCTCTTTCATCATTTTATCTCCTTGAATAATAATAAATAATAAATACTCAGTAATAATGGGATTAACAGTGGATTCCACAGAGTGGCTCTTCTTCCACTGGATTCCAGTTGGAATTTAGAAGTTGATTTTTGCGGAGGGAAGAAAGCCGGAGAGCCCGGAAAACCCTCGAAGCTCAGGAGAGAACCAACAAACAACTCTACTCACATGGCACATACAACTCGAACCCGGGTCGCAATGGTGAGAGGTGAGCGCTCTAACCGCTACGCCACCCATGCTTCCCATAATTTCTGCTTTTATAGACTTCGAATTATTTTCGATTCGTAATCTGGTTGGTTGGCAAACTCGAGTGTTCACGGTTAGAGTAGAACGACAGTGGTAAGATAAAAAACATGCGAAGAAAAAAACAATTACGATTGCATTATGGTTAACCAGAGCTTCGACTCGAAATCATTTATGTTTGACCCACTCAACCAGAATATCAAAACTTGACTATTGACACATTAAAAAACTGTTGTTCTACTAATCAAAGTTTATGAATCGAAAAGAATGAAAATGAAGGGAAATGAAAGAAAGGAATAAAGGTAATAAAATGTTTCAAATAATAAACGTCTTGTAAATGGATCTTGCATCACACGTAAAGACAACTGTTACTAAGAGACACAGCAGACAGGGTGGCCCCCATATGTACATACTGGCGCGGACAGTCTTAATACTGCATTACAAATCTATTTTTGATACTTTTTTTTACCAGTGAGGCGACTTACACGTTCTTTACATAAAAGCAAAAAGGAAACTTGTAAGAAAACTCATTGCAAAAAACGTTTACAACTCATCGAGGATAAGCATTCAATTTTGGAGGTAAATCTTACAGCCGTGTTGAAGACAAAAAATGGTTATGTAATAAAGCAAGAACTATAAAACTGTTGCGTGTCTGTTGCACCCTACTAACCCTCGATTGTTCGAACAAAGAATACTGCCCTTTTAAATTAAAAGCTTTCATGAGTATCTGAATTGGCCGCTCTAGAAACGAGCAAGAGACTGGGGCRAGTTTTGAATCTTGGTCTTATTAGAAAACCTTTTTTTTGTCATTTAAGAAATCATCTCAAGATTAGTAAGTGTGGCAAAATTGTACACGACTGCATTAAAAAAAACCAAAATTATTGGCTTTCAAAAGTGTCGCAAATTTCTCTGACCGAAAAAAAAAAACATGGAGAAAAGCGCGAGGGCGACGTATTTTAAGACTAGTTTGTCCACAGGCAACCCAAACTCCTGGGTTTCCCAGAGCCTCTGACGGGGAGGAACGACAACCGAGGAGGATCTGGGAACGAGAATGCCCAAGCTCACTACATTTATAAGAGAATGTGTTGGGATTTAGAATATGCCGTATTCTATTTGGAAAAACCTGAATAAAAGTTTGTCGACTTATTTGAATGGTATTTAAGAAAAAATTCCAACACTAAGAAATAATGACAAGGTAGGAAGCTGCCAAGCCGAATTCCCTGTCACTGCATGGTGTCCACTTTGAACCGTTTTCCTCAGTAAATACGAATCCGAGGAGGAATTTGCTTCACAAGAGCACGAAGAAATAGTTTACCAATAAATCTGTGTGATTCAATTGGATCTAGCTGTAGCTACGAACTAGCAGTCCTCCCTCAAACTTTCCGTGATGACTTCTGCTCGCCCAACTTTCACGGCCAAAATCTGGAAACCTTCCAAAATTTCACCACTCGGGGAGGGGGGTCAACAGAATACGGCACATCATGCTTACTACCGGAGCGGAAAATTTTTTGCTAATCGAAAACTAGCTTTCCGTGATTACACTGAAAAATAGCTGGTTCGATTTCAGGATGACTCTCAAGAGCACAAGCAGTTACATATTTGAACAAAAAGGCTACAGGCATTTTGTACAATATTTCTTAAACATGATTAAATGCTAGCTAGTTTAATTAAAATTACCTTTTGAGCTTGTGCTTGCCTAAAACATATACATGATCATAATACTTCGATTAACATTTCGCAATGAATGGCCTTATCAGTTTTTATTCGACTTCCGTAATTTGTAATATTTTGAGGTCATGTAACACGAAAAGGATAATGCTGAGCCACCCTTTTTATTGCATATTGAAAACGTGCATGGTGTAATAAACGAAAATGCGAAATATGCGGAAGTTTGAGGGAAATGATATTTCTCCTTCTTATTCAAGCGAATCGATTAACTTAACCACAAATGGTGTGAGGATCCAGCTGCGCGGCACGTCTCACGCAAATCAGTTAAGTAACAATCAATTTTTCACTTCAATAAGTACCGCTGTGTTCATAAGCCATAACTTAGGCCCTGGCTAAACGAAGAAACATGTTTTCTTAAAATGTTTCCAAGGGTGGTAAAACTGTAAGGAAACATCGGGAAACATGTTTGCTCAATATCGGTTAGCGTATGCGCACTTTCAAGATAGAGCTAGCGTTGCTAAGTAACGAACTTTTAGAATGTTTGCTTTCGTGGCTGAACGAGGAAACATTGGGCAACATTGTTTCAGTCCATGCGTCTTGGAAGCATGAAATGTTTCTGTCGCACAGCAGAAACATTTTTGAGTCTTGGAAGCAAAATTTGTTGCACGTAGCAAAGTTTCGCATGTGGCTAAACTTGGAATCATCGGGGAACAAGCGCGCGGGAAACATGTTTCTGGAAACTTGTTTCTCGTTTAGCCATGGCCTTAGGCTATAAGTTTGCTCAGCTACCTGACGGTAAAGTTAAGATGCACAGCTGCAATATAAACAATCCACGGAGCCATTGTTCCATGCAAAATTGAAATATATAAAATTGAATTATACAAACACTGAGCAAATTAACAAAAAATTATTATCGGCCAAATTTCACTGGGACTTCTGCTACCTTTATAAGGGGGGGTTTAAAGACTTTCTCATTCACAGAGACTTTCATAAAGACATATGGAAAACACGCGCGAGTGCTGTGTGCAATAAAAAAGCACTTAGGGGTTGATTTATAGCGAGATTTACTTTATTTATTCTATAATATTCCTTCGATTGAAAGCTTGATTGAACTTCAGTAGTCTCACTGGCTATCTTGCATTCAACTGAAAAAGACTCATGGTCCTAAGCCCTCTGTGTCTAGCCACAGGTTTCATAGATCCAATCCATTTGGGCATAACATTAATTTTCCCTTTTCAGAGCACTGTCATTTTCGTCTTTCTTTCAATTCACTCTATGGTAGGACTGCTTTGATGTACCCGGCACAGTCGTCAATTATGCTTAATGTTCGAGTCCAAAAAATGCCTGGGGTATTAACGAACGGAAATGTTCACTGCAGCCTGGTTGGCGCACCACCATAAAAATAGTCTTTGTGAATATATCAGCTTTCATTGGCCAAAATAATTTAAAAACTTTGTTTCGGGCTGCGAAAAATAAGCCCCTATTTAAACGAGCTTCATCCAAGACAATTTACTTTTCAATGAACTTAATAAATTTTAACAGTGAAAAAGTAAATGATACTCGAAGGAATGTCGCGTGATCTTGTGGGGATATTCTGTGACCATGGCAACTGCGCGCAGACGTGTCGTGTTTTAGCTTCCGTCCATGATCTTTACATCTGAGTTTGTATTTTCTGCCAGATTGGGGTTAAGACTCTGTATTTTTAAAAACTTCCAGGATCTATCAAAATATGCTGAAAACCCTGGTAGTAAATGTGACTTTATAATAATAATAATAATAATAATAATGATGATGATGATGATGATGATGATGATAATAATGATAATAATAATTTAATAAAATAAAAAATAATAATATTAATAATAATAATAATAACTTTATTTAACGAAGGTATACAATTTATCGTAGATAATTTTCAATTGGCCTTCTAATTATAAAAACTAATTACTAAGTATACAAGCTAAATTAGATAATTAATATAAATAACAAAATTTAATAAAAATACGCAGGTGATTATAGAAACTCACACTATCACACGATAATCACCTCGAGCGAAAATCCAAAATGGCAGACAGCCGCTTTGTTGCTGTTACCGGAAAAAAATGCCTTTTACCTTCTATTTTTCTTCTTTTTTTGAAAGAATCACCTGTGTATTAATACTAAAACAATTATTTGCCTCAAGCTCAGTGATTATTGGGGAATATTTACCTCGCCGCTCAACGACTCGCGTCGTAAATATTCCCCGATAATCACTTCGCATTTGGCGAATAATTGTTAAATATTTCATCTAAATAATAATAAATCTAAAATAATAAAAATACCACGCAATCACGTTTTATTTGTATAAAAAAGACAGGATCCACTTAGGTCCTTTTAAAGCATTTCATTAACACGCCGGTGTATGAGACAAACATTTTCCAAGTACTGTGCACAGCAGGTTGAACAGTTTGACATCCATTCAAGGCTAGCTTCTTTCTCGGAACCCGAAAACTGAGCATATCGAATAGCAAGCCAGACATTGGGTTACGTTGTGCTTTTATTAAGAGTAGGAGCATTAAGAACGGGGAGTCGAATTACATTTAAAAAGGAATTCCAAGGGAAAAAAGAGAAGAATATTAAAATCCTAGTTCTTTTCAAACTTTTGAAAACGTAACAGGAAAAGAATAAAGGTAAAAAAGAGGAGAGGACCGAAAACAAAGAAGAAGAAACAAGGAATGAAAAGAAGGTGAACGAGAAGAGCACAAAAACGTTAAAGGAGCGGAGGAAGAATCGGAAGGAGCTCTGATTGAAAGAAGGAGAAGATTAATTACAAAACTTAGCAGCAAAGACGAAAAGGGCGTTACTAGGGTTATCTAAACGTAAAATCAAAGCAGTGAACAAAATGTCAACAAATTACAACATTTCTGCTTCAACAGCGACAACTACTACGTTTTCTTCTCTGCCTGAAAATATTTCTTTGTCACTGAAAAATTTTGCTTTGGTTCTTCTATTAATGGTGTCTCTGACTGGTAACACTCTCATCCTATGGGCAATCTACGAAGACAAACGATTAAGAACCAATACAAACATCTTGATAGCAAACATGGCGGTCAGTGACCTAATTTTTCCATTAGTGTCAGTCCCAACAATCGTTGTTGCTTTGAATTTTAACCGGAAGTGGTTGATTGGCGGTGACTTTGGAGTTGCAATTTGCAAACTTGTGCATTTTCTAGGAGAGATCTCATTTTTGATCTCGATCTATAGCTGTATTTTCATCGCTCTTGATCGGTATTACGCTGTGGCTCATCCATTCAAGGGCGGCTTTAGCAGGTCAAGACTTAAGTACATAATCCCAGGGATCTGGATCTTTTCAGGTCTTGTAACCTCACCATATTTACGAATTTCCCGCCTTAAAAAATACAATGATTCGTATTCCTGTGAACTTGACTGGTCTCAGGATGGCATACCCAGCGGACATCTAATCCATTCAATCTCTGTAACAGTGCTAGCAAACGGTTTAACCATCCCAATTATTATAATCCTTTACTCACTTATTTTTATAGGCTTCGCAAGCAAACACTTCTAGGACAGCAGCCAACAGACTTCTTCAGGAAAGTGAGAGAGAGTCAAAACAAAAATGTTTTAATGATGTCTATTACTGTAGTAAGCTTTTTGTTTTTTAGTCGCTTGTTTTTTGATATTTATTATTTTCTAGAGGTTTCAGGACAACTCAATTCCCTATCTCTCTCCGTTAGGTTTGATATTAACTTTGCTACATTTTATACATTAAGCTTAAGTTTTGCGTACAACTTTTTTGTTTATCTCATTTTCAATGATATTTATCGTAAAAACTTTTCGGCAATTGTTTCAAGTTGTTTTATTTGCTCTGCATGTCACAGACGTCAGATAACTGATATTTATCAGGTGAGCGAAGGTAGATTACAGAATCAAGATTTAGCTCTCGAAATTCGTAGAGATACAGCGAAATGACCCACTGTTAACGTTTGGTTATTTCAAACCAAGTGACTTTACTTTATCAACAGTACTGAGTGCTTGAGAAGATTTGCATGCCATGAAACTTGAATAATGAAGAGCCCGAAACCGTGTTCTTGTATAGAAAACCACACTGCACAAAATATAATTTATTAATTTTTAATTTAAAGAACTGGAACTAACGTACTATCGAAACCGTGGAAACCAGATTTGCAGATCCTTGCAAGCAATAAATCTGTTGTGTCAACCATTTAGACCAATTTGTCAACTTTCTGCATTTTTTAAAAATCCATTTGAGCCTCTTGCCACGTAACCATTGTCGAGATTCATATCGTGGGAGGACTGGGTGAAACTGTACAATCGTGAGAACGATGCCCTGCTAATCTCCATTTACCCGTGATTTTTCAGTTCATCCGGTCAAAATCGTGTCAAAATTTGTCGAACTCAATGGTAATCTACAACTACATTCAATAAAAATGATCATTTTATGCAACCTGGTCAACAGTTGTCCGGTCTCCCCAGTCCTTTCACTGGACATGAATCCCGGCAATAGACTTTTGCAATACAGCGTCCGTCCGTCTGTGTATACGCCACAGGGTTCCCGGTTTGCTGTGCATGGGAACATACCTTGTTGCCAACATCCGGTCGTCTCTCTCATCATGATTAGAAACTTTAAATCTCATACTAATCGCGGTGCGCTGAAAAATACTTGAGAGATACTTGGGGACGAGTCAGACATCAGCCATGAGAATTAAATAATTAAAGATGAGAATTTTGTTCGTCAAGCGAATCAGTTTTTTTCGGACTGGATTAAAACTCTCTGTTTGCACTCAGACGCTCTAACCAACTGAGCTACAGGGACTCATATTGGTGAGCAAGGTCTACATGGTATCTAAGCCTGGAGAGTTAACTGATTTTGAAAGATCTTGAATTGAACAACTAATATACATATACTCAAGGATATACAAAATTCTTCTTAAATAAGTTTTCAAACAACAAATTAAAGCATCTGTATGTAATCTCTGACCGCGGTCCAATATCCAGTGAGATAGCAAGAAATGATGATACAACAAAAGCTGTGCTTGGCTGTTGATGCAAAATAGGATAGCCAATGCAATCAGTATTGATTCATTAGTTCGGTTCAAGGAGAATTAGAGGTCATAGATTATTGTAAATAGAGTGATAAATTACGATGGTTTTCACCATCGACGCATGGAGAAACGGAACAATAAATGGAAGGAGTTCGAAAACAGACAAAAGATTAAAGCAGAAGCCACCAAAACATTTGCCATTTCGAGGTTGACTGGAAAAAACTGGGTCAAGTTGATATTGCAGTGCATTTTGGGGTTGTTTTAGAGTACGAAATATACGCCATAATGAAAATAAGTTTTCCCAATGCAGACTACTACGCACGCGTTATTCTCTTTAGAATAAGATTTTCTATTGGATGAGTTGTATCCATATATGCGCAACCGTTAAACAAACATTATACTCTAGGGAATGACAGGTGGAATGGGAAAACAATACAAGGTCCCATAATAGATATCTTTTATTCGAAATATTTTAACTTTCTACACTCATTGTCGCTGCTGTGAGCTAATCCAAAACACTGGTCTTTTGATTGGAAATGGGTTCATGGCAGCTTTTAAAAAGATTAAATAAAGAAATCCAAAGTTACAGAGGTGTAAGATGTACACATATATATAAATATATACTTATAAATAAGTCTCTATATACTGATATATAGCGCTGTGCAAAAATTCTGCAAATAAAATGAATCACGATATATCGACATATCGGGTGCATCCTGGGTGATTTTCAACTCACAAATCGCTTTAATAAAGGTTTAATACACCATTTAAATATATATATAATCACAGTGTATAGTTTGGGCATTATTATTAGATATTTGGTTGACTTCTGGTTGAAAATCGCTATATTTAAGGAATTCAGAGATATGCCAATTAGTTTTAGCTTACTTTGCAGACTTGATTTTTTTTTTGGTGGAAAAGTAGGCTAAATTAGTTTAAGTACATATTATATATATTGATATATTTGAATTTATTCGGAATTTCTGTAAATCACTGTATATATATATATTAGCGGAGCTCCCGCTTTTGGCCCGCGCGAGCGGAGCACCATACTTAAGAAAAAATGGTAAACCATCGAGTTGATTTGTCATGGCTTGGCTGACGTCACTTCCGTCCGTCCGTCCGTCCGTCCGTCCGTCCGTCCGTCCGTCCGTCCGTCCGTCCGTCCGTGTACACAACACAGGAATCCCGCTTGATGTCAAAGCAAAACTACTCGCAAATGCGGCTCTCTAATGCAAAGAAAAAATCGCTTTAGGACTAATTATAGACCAAGAACAAATAAAAAAACTTTCATGTTTTCAAAGATGGATCAATAAGTGCTATTAAAGAATTCATGTGTGTCTTTTTTAGAAAACAATCGTATATTATAGTATTTTTTATGACAACATTTTTTATCGACAGTTCAAAGAATTTCTCTCGAAACGTTTAATATTTCTATAGATAAGCTTAATGGATTTTAATGAGAGATATGTTATTGTCTAAGACCTTGTTTCACTTTAGAAAGCTAAAAATATTCAAACACATTAACTACATTTACAAATGCCAATTTACTGACAAAGAATTTTGTATTTGGCATTCCATTTTTTTTTTGTCTCAGTTGTCCTTGTCATGTTTAACTGAATCATGGTTAATAGAGTCTATTTACTATCACTGAATGTAAACTTTGTTTTTCGAAAACTTTTGTGCTTCGTGATTTCCGTTATCTTTCTCACGCGTGAAAACAGCGGATAAAAACTCGTAAAATCGAATCTCAAAATCTAGTAAGCTTAAGTTTTCAAGCTTATCGAAAAGTAGTTTAGGATTAGATAAAAGGAATGAAAATATTTTTTTTTATAAAGAATGAGGATCAGAAAACTATTTCTTAACTGATGACACATTTGGTTTTAACGTTCAGGGCCTTCATTTCACAAGTTTAGCTGGTTAATGATCTCCAGCCAATTTTCTCTTGATGCTACCAAAGCATTTATTTTCTTAATTTCGTTGCGGTAAAAATACGGTTCTTATGAAAACATAAACTCTTCATGTGGATAACCAAACATTGTCATGTCATGTAAAAGGATTAAAAGTATGATTATAATATTTTGCTCACCTTTTCTTAAGCGGTTTTCTAGTCTGTCTTTATATGCTGTGTTCATTTGTCCAGAAAAAGTTAGGAAATCTCCGAAATTTGATAAATTAAGATAAATTTCAGTAAACTTGACATCTTATTGGATTATCTGTAGTTATCTTTCGTTTTTCAAGTAAAAGTAACCAGGAATTCAAAGTGTAAAAATGTCGGCCATGCAAAACTTTGTCGAAGAATTTTTCAAGAACAAAGCTAGCCCCTGAGGTGGTTGGTGGTGGGTTGTGTAAATGTGACAAAATTCCTAAGTGGGAGAGTACTAAGGTTGAAACAAAGACTCGTGCGAAGAATACGATGTAGTGCATTTCGATTTCATTTTTTCACTTCATGGTTTTCATTATGGAGGAGATTATCTTCATCTCGAAGGAGAGAAAAAATTAAAGATAATTTGCCCGATTTTATTTTCATCTTTCAGTTTTATCTAAATTGGGCTCCTTTTTAAACTTTTGACTAAGTGAATTTAACAAGTTTCTTCATCGAAAATCCGGCTCTTTCGTAAACGAGTCCAATCTATATACCTTCATTTTAGATGTCCATTAGATAACTTTTCATTTTGAAAACATTGAAGTTCAGGTCAGAAGTACGTGTTCTAGGGATACAGCAATATTAACTGTATTTCAGTTTAGGTGGAGAATTGTGGAATAATTTGCAGTCTCATCTATAACTGCAATCAACTCCAAAAAATGAGTCTCAATCGAGCGATCATTGTTTTGATTTAAAATCAAGCTTGAATGGGGTTGTCTCAGCTGAGTATTCTTTACATATGCTGTTTATGGATTCCTTCAAAAACCCTTCAGAATTTTTCAAAGAATTCCTCTAACGCATTTTCTCGTCAAATTCAATTGAGTTTGGTTTGTCAACTGCAGGAAGTTTGCTTTGTCAGTGCCAATCTCTTGTGTACCCATAACATCATACGATCTGACCAATCAGGAATCGCATGCTAAAATAGCTCAGACTTGCGCGCGGAGCTAAAAATAGATTTTCAAAAAACTTTCATGGGGCACAGGGATGTGCTCTTTTACTTCATATCCTCTTGTGTAAATAGAGAAAAAAATACTTTAAAATCTTACATCGAGGAAAAATTTTAACACATGGAAGGACGAAGCACGTCACGTAGCTCGGACGTTTCGATCGACAACAAATCGACAACTGGACGAAAGACCACGAAACGATCTGATTTGCTCCAAGTATTATCCGTAGCTTCAAAGTTTTGATCGATAACAAGTCGAAAACCGGACGAAGGATCACGGAACGATTTGATTAAATACGAGTATCATACGAAAATATGTTCATTAGCTATGCTTACACAGACGATGTCATAGTAGCTATGCCTTTCAGGCACTAGCTACAAAAAGCCGGATCCAAAAACTCTTGGGTAAACTCAATAGCTTGTTTATA